TATTTCTGCCCCAGTGCATTCCAGCTTTGTGCGGGCTGCGTATTGGTTATTCCTAGCTGCTGATGGCATCCTCTTGATAACGGTCAGGACTGAAATGTCTGAAAAGCTAATGATAAAACAAGAGAGGTTGGCATGTGTGCTGCTCCAGCAGGCAAGCCCTGAAAAAGCTATGCACAGTCCCTAGCATCTGCAGTTTCCATTCTCACGGCATAGCCACATCTCTCTTCTCTCCATGATTAGTTTTAAAGGTTGGCCTCAAAAGAATGGGCAGGGAGCAACCACAATGAAGTGCTGTTCCGTCTCTGGATGACTGTGCCTGGGCTGTCAGAAAATTCCTGAGCTGGTTGAATGGGTTGCCTCTGAAGACTGCAGTCAGCGTTCCATGATCTAAGATAACTGTAGTAGGCCCATGTCTCTAGAGTCCCTTAGTGAAGCATTACTTCTCTCCTAGGCTACCAGTGAGGTTGCTATGGCACATTTGCCCTTGGTCCAAAACTCAGTGGAATGAATCTGAATCGGAGTATATGGTGTGAAATGAGACTGATTCCAGGGAGTCTTTGTCACATCTTTGCTATTCCACCTTGCTGTAGGTAGGACAGAAAAAATGTCTCTTGGTTAGAGCCCCCTGTCTGCACTGGGAGGTCCTGTCTGCACCGGGTGTGTTTTAAAGGTCCTATGCTACTACTGGTAAGAGGATTACCTTGGTGACCACAGTGACTATCACTTCTTTCCCAGAAGTTTATTAGGCTCTGTGCTACACCTGATTGGTAGTCATCCTACACAGCTGACTTCCTTCCTATAGAGCTGTTTGAATGTGGAGTGTAAAGCACTTCAGGATCCTTTACCAAATGGGTTTCATATGAACACAGGTGATTTGCAATGGTTTGCCTGGAGAACAGATCTGGAGCCCTAGCAACAGAGGAGGAAGAGCGCATTCCACTGGTGGAAAAGGCCAGAGCAGGCATCCCCAAAGTTAGGAGGACTGAGACCACTGCCACCAAGAGGAAGCAACAAGTGCTGTGCTGGTGGTTGGTGACTCCCTTCTGTGGGAAAGAGGCATCCATCTGCTGGCATGACCTGTTGTCTCAGGGGGTCTGCTGCTTACCCAGATCTGAGATATCACAGAAGGATTACCAAGACTCATTCCACCCTCTAACTACTACTAGAGGTGCACCGATACATTGGTCTGATATCAGATTGGCACTGCTATAAGAAAATTGGCTGTATCGGAAATCAGCCTAATGTGGCCGATAAATGGCCCATGTATGCACGCAGCTACAGCACAGCACGTAGGTGGTGAGGAGCACAGCCCGGCAGCTTGGAGAGCTGTGTGCAGCTGATAAGTCTGTTGTGGTGGATGTGGAGGGGGGAGAGAAGGGGTGTAGGGGGGGCAGATCAAGGCCCCTGTGGTGTGGGAGGAAGTGGGGCTGGGGCAGGCACTGCCCAGCCGGTGTGGAGCAGGGTGCAGGATGGAGCCGTGGCTCATTGGGTGGTGCAGCTCTCACTATTGCATGCACCTTGGGAGGGCACGTGAGGGGCGTCTGCCCCCAGATCCGTGCAGGGTGGGCTGCAGCTGCGGGCTGGGAGGAGGGGTTGGGGGGCCTATGGCAAATTTTGGGATGGCTGCATTCCATTCTCAAAGTATGTAAAAAACACTTTTAAAGTTGTGTCTGTGTCCGAATCACTGATTCACCGAATCAGCATTGAATCTTCAGTCCCGATTCAGCCAAATCTAATTGGGGACAGTGATCCGAATCAATGAATTGAATCACTGTCCCTGATTCAGGCCGAATCTGAATCTAATAGGGCTTCACACACCCGTAGCGAACACATCTTGCAGATCAATGCATGGCTGCACAGCTGGTGTCACCAGCTGGGCTTAGACTTCTTCAACCACAGGATGTTGTTCCAAGAAGACTGATTGCTAGGAAGAGATAGGATCCACCTGATGAAGTGAGAGAAGAACATCTCCACAGACAGGCTTGCTAACCTAGTGAGGAGGGCTTTGAACTAGGTTTGCTGGGGTATGGAGACAAAAGCCCTGAGATAAGTGGGGGAGCAGATGATCTGAAAGAAGCACAAGCAGGAGGTGACAGTAGGGGAAGCCTTCTCATTCTTCCTGAGAAAGTAGGGCAATTGGTTAGTTATCTCGGATATCTCTACATGAATGCCCAGAGCCTGGGAAATGAGCAGGAAGAATTGCAAGTCCTTGCATAGTCACAGAACTATGATGTGATTGGAATAATGGAGACTTAGTGGCATAGCTTGCATGACTGGAGCTACTGTCATGGATAGGTATAAACTATTCAGGAGGGACAGGCAGGGGAGAAGAGGAGGGGTTTCTATTTCATGTTGATGTATACAAAGATGAAGCCTCTGGCACGCTCCAGTGGAGTCTGTAAGGCAAAAAAGGGACAGGTGGAAAACAGGAAATGCCACTTAGTAGATCCCATTCTAGTGCCATTCTGCAGATGTTTTGGCCCTCTTGCTCTGTATTAGTGAGTGTCATACATTTGAGGAAATGTTGCATCAAATCCTCATAAAACCACTAATGAACAGGCACAGATTGCATAGAATATGTGCCTGTTCAGACATCATTTGCTTCTGAGTGCCACCATTGCACCCAAGATGAAGCCTTTGCAGCCCACAGGGCATTAAACTAATTTTCCCCAGTATCCATATCCACATACTCCCTGCTTCCAAAGGCGTGGACTTGACCAATGCCTGGCCCTGCCTAAACACACTCCCTATCTGCGCATAATGCCACTCTACTTTGCCTTTACAGTTTTTTTTGTTTTAGGTATTCATTGTATTTGAACTCTGCCCAGTGCTTTGGGGCTGCTTTGGAAGTGTGGACGGAACAAGGCCTCCCACAGTGTTTAAGGAACCAGAACTTTTTTTTTGGTAGAAAAACCAGTTTAGGCCAGGTTTAGAGTCACAATGCCATATGTGTTTCTTCTTCTGTATGGAGGAATATAATGATGTCTCTCCTTGGGGAGGGTGAACCAATCCTCCCCTTCCATGACTGCTTGAAGCCTTTGTGCCCTACTGAAACATAAAGTAAAGCCACGTGGACCAACCTCATGTGCCAGAGCTGGTTTGGGGAAATACTGCAGCATGTTAGTTTTCCCACCTGCTGCATGTACCTGACTAGTCCTCCTTCCCTACATTATTTCTCCGTGTCAGTGGCCAGGATTTGAGTTGTGAATTAACAGTGTGCCTTCCTCTCTATAGCTTCCTTGTTTTCCTTCCTCTTGCATTGTCAGTTTAATTCAGTTATTGAGAGATTCCTGTTATGGAATTTGTCAAGTGATTTAATGTCTGCACAGCTCCTGGCTATCCAAAATCAAGTTTAATTTTAGTAGAGATGTGGATGTACCCATCAAAGTATCCATCCATATGCATAACGCTTAGGCTTGAAACAAAGTGCTTGCTGCCTGTCTGTCTCAAACAGCTTTCCTGAAATTCGTAGCTAATGATATACACTTTTTAGTCTGAGGGTGGCCTCTAACCAGTGGAGTCTAGGGATTAAAGAATCTGGTCATCTTTCAAAGCACTATGTTTTTGTACCAGTGTTGTGGCTCAACAAGAAGTAAAGTTTGTCCACTATGAAGAACTGACCTCTGAATAGGTAACAGAAAACTGGAGACAGGAGCACAGAACAGTAGCAGATCTTGTCTTGACCTCTGTTAAATCTACCTTTAGAAGATCACTTGCGGCTGGAGACATGAGGGGAAATGGGTTGTTGTCGGGCTTTTAGTAGGTTCAGGTTGGTAATGTGTTCTTAAGGGTTTACTTAAAGCAGTGGTTTCCAAACTGGGTTCCACAATAGGTCATCAGGGGTTCTGCAGAGAGGTTGGGGGTAATGGCAGAGCAGGCTGGGAGGCAGTGCACCTCCATTACCAGGCTGGGTCGCCTGCCTCTGCATCAGGCTTCAAGATAAGGATAGGAATAGGGGGAAGGGTTCCATAGCAGAAGTGATACAAAAGGGGTCCGTTTCTTTAGGAAGGTTGCAAACCACTCCCTTAAAGAAACTTATCGTTGCTCTGGGTGATTGGGGGCACCCAACACAATATGGGTGTTTATAACAGGAAAGTGGAAATCTGTAGTTTGGGGCCTTGTTTGTTTGATTGGGTGCTGCTAATCTTAGAATACACTGACTTAGGCTACTTAGGAATGCCTTTTCTTTGAATTGGTGTGTTCCCTGTCCTCCTTCAGTGAAAAGAAGTTGTTTTCATTCTAATGCAGTGGATTTTTCTGCACTCTAAGCTACTTACTTTGGGGTTTTTTTTCTTGTTTCACCTTTGCTTACCTTAAGGATATTTGCTTTTCTCCAGGTGTTGTGCTGTTTTTGCCCTCCTTTCCCTTTCTGCAGTACACCTTTTTATCCTTGGCTCCCCTATGATGCTGTAGGATTTGATATTCCCCTTTTCTGACCTCAATCATTTATCTGTCTGTTTCTTTGTATGTCAAAAAGCAAGTTAATATGCGAAGACTCGGAGGAAAACAGGCTTAAAAATGAAAGAGTTTATTACAGAAATGGAAAACTTTTGAAATTAAAATATATATATAATGTCCATTGCATAGACTTTGCAGGTTTGCATAGAATGCTTTTCTAATTTACAGTATGAATAGTCAACATGTACATAAGGCATTTCCCAGGAATCTTCAGTCTCCTGTTTCATACAAGACAGACATTTTAAATTGGGCTCAAGACCTCTTTAAAAAAAAACTGAGTAAAAGTAGATTTATTAACTATAAGCATCGTTTTTCATTCAAGCAACAATGCGGCTGCAGGAAGAATCTTTTAACAATTATTTTCAAATGCCTTTGTGTAAGAAGACAACACAGTTTTATTCAAAGCAAAACCTTTAGGCAGTGCTTAAAAAAGCACTCTGAGCAAACTTTGAAACTCTTGGGCATGATGCCAGCCCAGTGAGTGAGGACTTATTTTTTCATTTTTCCTGGCACTTGAGGATTCCAATAGAGCTTTTCTCATAGATGTATTGGTTTGAATTTTTATTACAGTCATATAAAGAGAAGCATATTTAATGCATTTCCCTTCCTCCTCCAGTACATGGACAGCTTGTCCCAATTTGCTGGTAGGCATTTATGAAGTATGTCTCTCAAAATCAGTGGGACAGAGACCTGAAACTGAGGGAACAATCTTATGCTTGTGAGCCATAAGGCAGAGTGTTAAATACTAGCCTCTCTACACTATTTGAATTCTTTATAAATGAAAAGGGAAAATTAACAGTAGCTAAAAATTAAGGTTTGAGCATCATAAAATAGAGAATCAATGGAGCAATGCTTCAAATTCATCTTGGCTTTTGAGTGACAACCCAAGTCAGTCAAGATGCCTTCTCATAGTATGTTGTGTTGTCCACGGGATGCTTTGTTGTATTAGGGTCTCACATACTCTGTCCCTTGTTTACTAGCATTTCAGCTGAACATTAAAAGAACCTTCTTCCCTTGCTGTTTGGGAATAATGTAAGTAGTAAGCTTCTCACCATGTTTATTCCCTGTTCACTTTGAGACTTTCTGCCATTGTGATAAAGGGGGCCACTATTTTGGTCTTTCTGTGCTATAAACAAAATAAAGGTGCAGCTGGGAATCTATTTGTTAAAGCCCACAGAATGGCATCTTAGCATTCTGAAGGACCTTCTAGTGTTCCTATTGCATACCTGTATCCTCGAGAGCTGCCCCATATCTGTATCCCCCAAAGCAGGTGGGGCAGGCCCCTCCCAGGCTGTGCCCTCTGGGACTACCTTCTTGCATAGGATCCTTCCTGTGCCAGGAAAACGGTGGTAAAACTCTAGGACAGAACAAATATGATCTTCCAATGCCCAGATTTTCAACTTGATTTTTCCTGTGTGGGGAGGATGGACCCAGTAACTGGAGGCACATTTTATGAGTTATTACTAAGCTAGTAATTGCTTAACACTTCAAAACACATCTTCTCTCTCTCTCTTTCCTTTCTCTCTCTTGGACTTGGTAGAAACTGTCTCCCTTGACAAGACTGGATCCACCCTTAGTAAACGTAGACATTACAGAGATGGCAAGGAGGAGGTAAAAGCTTTCTTCCTAGAGATCTCTGAGTGGTCAAATCCTACAGCAGCTCAGCTAGTCCCAATGCTAGTGTATCCACAATACTGTTCCTGCAGGTGCTGCTAGTACAGGAGGTCCCAATCCTAACCTTTGGAGCAAAGCGCCATAACATGAGAGAACTTGGCTTGGCAGAAATGTGCCTGCCTTCTCTCCTGTGGCTGCTTCAATATTAACATGTAATGTGTAGTCAATATATAGCCCTGGCATTAGCGCACCTTGTAGATGAAGTAAACCATTTCTGTGGAGTGTTTGAAGATGTCAGGCTTTTCCTCTTCTAGGCAGTGGGGTCGCTGTGGCTGTACAATGAAGTGGTTCCCTTTAGGGCTTGAAATCTTCTGCCCGTATCTTCATCTCAACCCTCTTCAGGGAGTAGGTTGAGCCATACCAGCCATACCAAGTGATGCCATCCATGTTCTTGGTGTGTTCCCCCTTGCGGTAGTAAACCCCATTCAGGTTGGAGTCTGTGCAGCAGTTGTACCAGTATCCACCTTTCAGGAAACAGATGAATTGAGTCATTACCAGTTTTTAAGCAGTGTATGACATTGTTATAGGGTTTTAATATGTATTACTGTCCTTCTCCAAGGAGTAAGGGAGGGCTAGTGTGCAGACATTACTTAGATATGTGTGCATTTATGTGTACACACACACACACACACACACACACACTCTCTCTCTCTCTCTCTCTCTCTCTCTCTCTCTCTCTCTCTCTCTCTCTCGCTTAATAAAAAAAATGCAGATAATTTCATGTGTCACTGACTGCAGCTACCTCTGTGATAGCCAGGTAGATAGCTGATGCATAGTACACTGACCGGCAGTGTAGGCAGGTAAAATATTGGTCAAGAACACCGGGGCAAATACTGATATGTACAAAAAGCACAACTGAATCTCTCTAAAGTAAATACTGAGCAGACCAGGTTTTAATTGTTAAATTGCCCAGATTAGTGCACACTCCAAAAATGGTCATTGGTTCAGTGAAAGAGCGTTCAAATGCTAATGACTTGAAATGATCAATGAGCCTCACTCCAATCGTGATGGCACCTCTGAGTTGCATAGAGCAGTTTGTTCAGACGCGAGCAGAGAAGAAGGTTGCCTTACCTTTGCGGAACTTGGCACAGTCATCCACACACTTGTCATTGTCCTTGTCCTTGGTGCTGAAGGCTGTGTTGTTGTGGTACCTTAAGGAGTCGCGCCCTGTGGTGCCCGTGTAGTTCCCCAGGAAAAGGCGGTAGCTATTTAATTCATTGCTCAGGGTGAAGTGGTTGTATTGTGCATAGCGGATGTTGCCTTCCCAGTCCTGCCCCCAAGGGTGAACAGGAAATAGCGTCCATTAGAAAACTTCCTAAACCAGCTTTGCAAGCAGTGTTTACTTAATATGCATGTAGCATGTCTCGTCCGTGCCCTACAACAGAGCAGCTGGATTTGCAGTGGTAACTTCAGTCTCTTAGCATGAAGGCGAGAGGTCAGATTGCAGGAACCCCTCTGACAAGGCAAACGGCATCTGTCACTTAGCACAGCAGTCCACCTAGCAACCATGGCATCTTGCCTGCTAGTCTGGTCTGCACTGTCATTAAGGGTTGTACACAGGAATCTGGTGTGCTTTCCTTGCATCCATCACCTTGTCCTGTTGCTGTAGTTGGCCTTTACTCTTTGTTTTGTGTGTTGTTTTTTGTGTGTGTTGTTTTCCCTCCCTCAAGCAGTGGCTTTTTGATTGTAAGAAAGCCCCAGGATCCTCTGTTTCCTTTGTAAGCACAGGTCTGTGGGGCTGCAGTAACAACTGCCACACCTCCAACTAGAAACTGGCATTAATGGACTGCATAGGAGGCTGCTCCTGGGGAGTGCAGTGCTTCCCCTCCTCCCTGTGTGCCAGGTATGCTGCCCCAACAAGTGCCTCAAAATCCAATATAACCCTTGCTGGGCATCCCTGCAGATTAAGTCCTTGGAAAGTGCTCAGCAGCTTTATCCCTCTATATCTTGGACTACTACCACTACACTTCAGTGGCTGGAAAAATTCACTCAAGGGTCCTCTAGTGCAGCATTTCCCAACCTGTAGGTCAGGACCCAAAAGTGGGTCGCAAGAATATACAAAAAGTTCACAAGCAAACTTTAAAAATGGGTCAAACTTTAAAAATGGATTCTCATTTAAAGGAGAGAAATGTGGGAAACCATGGCTTTCCCAGCCTGCAAAAGAAGAGTTCCACCTTGCGAGGGGCTGCTTGCACACACTTCTGCCCCACACACTGGGAGGGCTGGGGCCTGGGGGTTGGGGGCAGCAGGTAAGGAGTAAGGGGCACTGGGTCAGGACTAGCCACTGATGTTTACAAGTGAGGACTGGTACCAAAAAGGTTGAGAAGCACTGCTCTAGAGCATGCAGCTCCTCACAAAATGCATTCTTAAGTTGCCAAAGGAGATGTTATATTGACTCTGCAGTAGAGGATATTGCACTTCCCTGTCCCTGATGCTCTTACCCAATCCGCTTTGCATCGCTGCCTACAACTTAGGTGTGCCAGTCCTTTGACCCTCCACAGCTGCTAGGAGGTCATTTGTTTACCAAAGAGCTTGTCACTACTGTGACCAAAAACTTGCCCATTACCTCCAGTTCCACGCGTAGCACAGTCGGGCGCCTGGAGAGCCGATAGATATGTTCATTACCCAGCCAGAAATCTCCCCGGATGTTGCCAAACCCCTCTTTGTACTGCTTCCAGTCCCGATTGAATGAAATCAGACCAACTTTGCGCCTCTGGATGACAGTCCAGCCACCGCCATCTGTCTCCATGTCGCAGTACACCTGGAGTAGGAGAGGATGCAATGCTAACTAATCAGCAGGGTTTCTAGGGTCCATTTCCAGTTCCACAAGACAAGACCCTCTACACTAAACCCCCCTTTTAAGGGAGTTGACTTATTTGCTGACAGTCACGAAAGACTAATCTGCTCAGCACCTTTTCCCCGTCTCCATCCCTTTCCCCCAAAACCTCCCAATGCAAGTTCCTGATCTAAGAGATGAGACAGGACTTAACAGATGCAGTGTGCGATGTCCCTGTTTTCTCTGTTTTAAAAATTGGACTTTGAGATAAGGGTAGATTGTGGAGGAGATTATACAGGCACATGGCTTGCATGCATGGCATCCTCACCTCCAGTTCAGGGCTCCCCAGGAAGTCATCAGGGGGCAGCTTGTAAACCCCAGAGATTCTGTAATTCCTCTGGTAAAGGGAGGAGCAGTCGTAGACAGCATCTGCATAAATTAAAGGCAGGAAGTAAGGAAGAATTCTCTTTCATTGCTGAAAGCCAATGAAACAAATGGCCCAGATACATAGTCTGTTAAATCTGATATTTCTGACCAAGTGGGCAAAGAGATGGGGTTTATTAGGCTTTGCAGTAAATTGCAAAACGCCATTACTGGACATGGTGCTAAAATAATCAGGTACTGCAGTTTATTTTTGGTACACTGAAAAATCTGAATTTTCTACTCTATGGATGAAGAGTTCATCCTTCTTGTAGCTTTTTAGCTCATTTGCCTAATGATGTCATTATAATTCTAATTCTCAGGAGTGGAATTTACTTTCCCTCCACCTTTGGCTTTTTGCCATGAAAAAATACAGTGAACTGGCTTTGTGAGTTGGATCGGGGAGGCAGTGTTAGTGGTCTGGTTTCCTCTGGGTTGTGGGGTGCTGTGAAAGCAGCATACTTGTCACCCATGGGCAAGGAAATGCCAGTCACTTAAAAGACGCATCTCTGACCTATTCAGGAGCAAAGCAGATGGGGCTCCCAGGTGCTACTGTCTCAGAGTCCTGATGGTGGGATCTCGAAGGAGACCAAAATGGGGAGCTCCCTAATGCTCTGTCATACATCTAGGGGCTTCATTCATCACAGAAGAGCATCTATTGTCTCTTAGCTTGATAATTTGACCTTTTGCTGCAGCATACAAAGCTCCAGGCTTCACAGACATCTCTCATTTGGTTTAGAAATGCCACTGTGTTTGAATAAATGGAATTAATGGGAGAGGCCATATTTGCTGTCCCTGCAAACGGACAGTGCTTATCTGAAAACATGCTGCCAGCTACCATCCTGCAGCTGGGTATAATGACAGAGTTTGAATGGGGCACATTGTACAGCAATCTTTGTATCGTAGTCAGCAATGGAGATCATGGCATGTTAACCAGTTGGCCTTAGGATCCCCTTTCCCTCTGCCCAGAAGTCTGTTAAAGACCGCTGATTTGTAGAGCTGTTTTACAGAAAGGGAAAAAAACTAGTTGAAGTAAAGATTTATCCCACTGACAGCTCTCCACGTATTGCAGGGTGAATGACTCTCACCTGGCAGCATGAAACTCTGAATTCCCTGCATCTGGTTGCTCAAGTCCCTACTTGGCTGGCTTCTTCTGTGTGCTGAGTTATTTTATGAAACCACATTGCGGCTTTCCTCTGCCCTAATGAGACTCATTACAGTAAAACCTTTGTTTGTTCGAGATTTAAAATCTATACAAAGCAGTGTGTTAAAACCAACAAAGCTTCTCCTTTTCCCTTAACCAATGTGCTGATGGGCTTAAATTTATTTTGCCCTTGTAAAAGGAACTGAATAAAGGTGTTCAGCAAATCCCTCCATCCTGCACAATAGTCGTTTTTGTAAGGAAATGTTAAACTTCTTGGAATGGCTTTGTTTTCCTCTCCATCCCAAGGCTTTTGTGCCTGGGATTTTTCAACAACATCAGGCCTAACGGACTAAATCGTTAAAAAAGACAGATGGAAAAAGGCTGGACCACAGATCATATCTGTATTCTGTCATCTTTCATTCAGGCCTGGGCAACTGTGATGCACTTTGAAATTCTCTACCGGGGGAATGGAAGTACTTTAAGTTATTGAAATGTGTTGGAATGAGAAATATCAGAGATAATGCATCTTGCATCATCTAACGCCTTGGATCTCTGAGAGCTATTGCATGCATTTACTCTGGCACAAAGTCTCCAGTATTGGCTGGAAAGTTCCTCTAATTTTTTTTTTTTTTTTTTTTTTTACCAACCTTTGGTCGCCTACCAGCATTCTGGACAATGAGGGAGTCTTATTGCCAGAGGCTTTCCCCAAACAAGCTGACTGCCTCTGTTCAATTTAGGATCTTAGTACGCAGAAAAGCAAGGAGAAAAGATGCATTAGACTGAGTCCCGCCTTGTGGAGTTTCAGGACCAATTCTGCCCTGCCAACCCTTAGATGAGAGCATATCTGACAACTGGATTTTTGTCTTTCTTGTAAAAGAGACTGGGAGGCTTTTTCCCTATTTTCTGTCTGCAGAAGTGCCCTGGGCAGACTTGTTTTGAGCATGCACAGTTACCAGCTGTCTTAGCAGGACATGCCAGCCTTAAGAGCTGCCGGATAATTTGATTTGTGCATTAAGAGGTGTCTGTGGGAGCTGGGAAACTCCCTCCTTACCAGCTGAAGTCTGGGTGACTGTCTGTGCCGCCTGGAGCTGCATGATGCCCATCTGGCTGTTCATTTCAGAGTACTTGCTCTCCACATCAGTGAGCCGGGACTCCAGGCTCTTGGTGATTTCTTCCAGCTTCATCGCCTGCATGACCACGTTCACCCAGTCACCTTCCTGCTTCTTGTTGAGCTCCCCCATCATAGCGCTCAGGTTGGCAATCTGCAGCTTGAGCTCCTTAACCTCATTGCAGCAGCCAGTCGTTTTGACCTGGGCATTGCTGTTAACTGTTCTCCTCTTGGGAGGCTTCTGCAGCCATGCAGGGTAGATGGCCAAGGACACAGTGAGAATGCAGAGCCATGCCAGCTGGGCAGTGACTTTGGCCGGCATTTTGCACTCCCAGCAGCAAGGAACTTCCAACTGGTTTCAAACAAAGTCAGCTGCGGATGGCTGGAGTGCAGTGGGCCCAGGTATGAAACTTTCTTAGTGCTGCAGCAAATGGGTATCTGAAGGCTGCTTCTTTCCCTCTCTGTCTCTCTCTTTTTCTCTCTCTCTGTCTCTCAATGAAGTGAACGTCCCAAAGGTGGGGTCTCAAGGGCTGTTTGGGTGTTGTTTTATTTTCCCCCAGCCATTTCCTCTAGCAGTTTGTGCTCTCTGGAAACCTCTCGCACAGCATCTTAAATATCTTTCTCCCGTGTTTACCTCCACCCCTCTGCAACCCTACGCAGTACTCTAGCCCCTCCCAGCTCATCTGTTCGTATCAGGTGCTTACCAAGTGAAATCAGTGCAGGCTTAGGCCAAGAAAGGAGCGGGGGGGTGGCTGGAGATTTCCCTCCACTCAGCTCTGCCACCTCAGGGTGGAGGAGAGGTCTAGGAAGTCGTGAGCATTTCCAGTAAACTTATTGGATTGTAGCCTTTTTGGTGACTAACTCTAGCACACTGGTAAACAGAAGAGCATCCAAAGTCCAGGATGGAAGGGCTCTCCAAGCTGGATGATTTTGTAAGAGCTTGAGCAAGGTGACCCCAAGGGGAATACTTCACGTAACAATCCAGTTAAAGTGTTCCCCGTGAGCCAAGTCTCCTGTGTGTTCATTTTGCCTTGCTTTGGTACAGAGCTTATTTTAGCCATTCAGCAGCTAATCCAGAGGATCAATTGCATCTGGACTAGGCATTTCTTAGAATCTAGAAGTGCTCCCTTCAGAGAGATGCTCACAAGGGAACATGATGGAGGTTTACCAAAGAGTGTTGAGAAGATAAATCACATGCCACTGCTTCCCCACCCTCCGAAGACAAGGACGAAGGGTCAGTCGGCAGTGCCAAAAGGCAGCCCCTTTTTTAAAAATGACAAAAAGATTCCCCTCCTCCCCCCCACCTTTTCTTTTTTCTTTTGCACAATACACAATCAGTCTGGCAAAAACTTCAGGATTGTGGCAGGCAGGATCTTAACAGGGTTGGAGGTGCAGGAATAGACACTTGATGGGATAACTGGAACCTCCCAAGTTATGTAAACCAGAAGATTTCAAACTAAATCTTATAAATCCTCTCCCAGGTTCAGAGCAGTAAGCCAGGCGTTGGCTAGTGAGGTTAGGGGCTTTCAGCAGCCTCTTGCATTTCTCCTGAGCAGTTTGAAGGCTTCTCCAGCTCCGTTCAGTCCCACAGTAGAAACAAAACCAACAGTGATAGTGCAGCCTGTGGACATAGGTGACTGACGGTAGCTCTCAATTCCCAGGAAGCAGATTATGCTGTAATTGTCCAATAGAGGGATTCTTATGCCTCCCTCCAAAGCTTTGAGTAGTGATCAGTGAGAGAGGCATGGTATCGGCTTGAGCACACATCTGATCCTATCTGATTGCTCCCATGGTAAAAAGTCATGGACGTCTGTTTCAATAAAAATCAATCTGCTGCGCCTGGTATGAAGAAAATGTGAACAGCACAATTGAGCCATGTTGCCCCAGGTGGAATTTCTTCTGTAGTCTAAAAAGGAAGTAGACTGCATGTCAATAAACTTTGCTACCCTGGTGCGTCTTGGAAGTGTGGAAATGGAATTGGCACCAGTATTCTGTTTCTCTTCTGCTCCCCAGCTTCGTTATACTTATTGCTGGAGACTTCAGCGCTAGGGGCTGATTGCCTTTCCAACTGGCCTAGTCACTTTTCAGCAGAACAGCAGCAATGACCCAGCAAGGTGAAAGGGAGCAGGAAGGTGAAAGTGCCAAAACATTTGCAGAGATGGAGTGAGGTGCTGGTGAGGAGAGAGCACCGGTGATCAAAAACACTGAGCAAAGAGCATGGGCATCTTGGATTTCATCCTGGCTGGCTCCTCCTGTGCAGTGTGCTTTAGTCGCACCCCTGCCAAGTAAGACACAAGCAGGCAAGGCTCCTATGCATTTCTGATGACCTGAGATGCCACCAAACTCTTTCAATCAGAAGTGACAGTCATTGTTTGCTGGAAGTGCTAAAGCCCCCTCTATTTATGGCAGAGCAGTAGTTGCCGCTTCACTTGTTTTTCTCCTGTAGGCATTTCAAGAGCAAAATTGCTTTTTATGCCTCAGTCCAGCATGTGCTACCACACACAGACCAGAAGCCTGACCTTGTTTTGCTCTTGATCCTGTCTGAGCCCCCTTCTAGCCAGCACTTCTGCTTTTACCAGGGGGCAAATTCTTCTCATTTGCCAATGACAAGAAATATGTTTTGAGTCGCAATTGAAGACTGAGAATGGAATGAGCTGAAGGCTTTTTTTTGTACCCTCTTTCCTTTCCTCAAAACCCACCTTCCCATTATTCCCCCTATCCTACTGCTTTCTTAGAAGGACGTGGGACCAGCCTTTTCTCTGACCAGTTTTAAGTGTAGCTGTTCCCAGCAGAGATCTAGCAGAATTTCCCAGATCTCTGTGTAACCCAAAGTTGCACTTGCTTTTGTTTGTCTGGGGTCTGGTATCCCAGCCACGCTCTAGGCTAACCTTCCCAGTCCCCTTTCCCTGGTAGTAGCATGGTGGTATAATACGTGTCCAGAAGACAGCAGATCCCTTTCCATGTCAGATAGCAAAACTGCTAGGATGTTAGTCACAGCTGGGTCTAATTACGGGGGTAGCCAGCATGGGGCCATTCCCTGTACAGACCGCATATTGGTGTTATCTAATTGGAAGTGCATGTTAATGTAATCTAATTAGAAGCAGGTACCTCTTATACCTGGAGGGCTGGATTAAAGAGGGATGTGCTGAAATGCTGCAGCCCTCTGGGGAGCTGTTCCGGCAGGTGTACAAGTTCAAAGGGGGTGAAGATCAGAATGAATTCAGTGCCCCAGGGTTGTTTATTTGGCATCCACTCACTGCAGAGCACCTTCCTTGCAGCTGGTAAGTGCTTTCAGAGACCTGCCTTGCTAGGGTTGCCTGTGAGATTGCTGAAGTTTTCAGCAATTTCTTCACTGTTGGCAATTTTCAGGAAATCTGCCCAGAGAAGAAATCTTGTGGGGGACTTAATTCGATTTCTCCCCCCTTCCCCCTACGGTGTGTAAAAAGCATCCATGTATCTAGCTTAGGGGTGTGCAAAATGCGGCCCATGGGCCGGATGCAGCCTGCCAAGCCATTCTGTCTGGCCCGCAGGGCCCCTAAAAATGTAGAGAATTAATATTTATCTGCCCCTGGCTGCCTGTCATGCGGCCTTCTGGCTTGCCAAAACTCAGTAAGTGGCCCTCCACCCAAAATAATTGCCCGCCCTGATCTAGCTGAAGTGTTGGAAATATTCAGAATGCTCTTCTTTAATGCATGTGTTTGCAACCAGTAGTCTAATATTAGTTCCTAATTTCTTATTAAAGCCAAACAGAATTGCTGATAGTGCAACTTGTTTGGTTATAGAAGCAATAATAAAGAATCTAGCTAATATCCAAAGACTAGTATATAACTGTCATCTTTGCTGACATCAAAAAATGTAATATAAGAATTATTTAGGGCAGTGCATCCTTATTCCCCATATTTGTGTTGGGGAAGTGTCTTGAGCTGACAGTAGAATGCGGACATACATTTCGTTACAATCTTTGTGGCTGGAGCCAATAACTATATTCCATTACCGTGGTTGTAAAAATAAATATGTACCGTAGAAATGCAATTTCCAAGAATAAAGTAATAGCTACATGGAAAGACTCGGTGCCTGTTGTATGTTTAATTACTAAACTATGTAAGGAAATATGTAGCAAATGAGAAGCAAGTTGCTGATACTGTAACTGTTAAAATAGTAATTTGCTTCCAACCTAGGAATATTTTTAATGGCTTGATGGAAATGTACTGCACTGTGTGTTTTATATGTCGGTGCGAGGTGGCAGGTGTTAAGTATGTTGACTCAAGGATGCTTGGACACAGTAAACCACCAAACTGGGGAAAAAGAGCAGCAAAGGCAACTCCCTTTGCCCAAAAGTTCTGTTCCCCAAAGGGATCTGCAAGCTAGCAGGGCCCTCAGCTTCACCTTCCAGGAACAAGCTCCCAGCCTTTTTGTACAGGGGAAAATCACCTTGGGTTAGATGAGGGAAACTTTCAAAATGACAGGCAAGAAAGTTGCTTGCCAGGGGTGGAGAAAGGAGAAGAGTTCTCATCCCCCTTTTGATTCCTCCATTGTGTTTTTACATCTGAGCATCTGCTTTCATGCAGAAACGTGGCTTTTCTCTGAAACTTTCTGGCTGATGCGAGATAGCGAGCATGTGCTCCCTCGCTGAGGGAAGTGTGGTTTGCAGCCTCCTGAAAGATGCATTAAAACAAAGTTAATTTTATTGTGAGAAGACGGGGGAGGATCCAGTCTGCTTTTGCTTACTTACTGTTCTCAAATGTTTAATAAACTTTGATTGGCAGACAATATTGCTAGTGACTCTCAGAGAGCAGGAAGAAATGGAAAGCTCCCAAGGATATGTAAGGAAGAGATTATTTCTATTAAATATTAGACATAGAGGAAAATGTACGCAGGGGACAGAAGAGCCCATCA